ACCAGTTGGGATCCCATTTCGGGATGAGAGCATTTGGTGGACCTCATGAACCATTCAGGTCGAATGGGACAAATGAGACAAACGAGACAAATGAGACAAATGGAACACTGTATCTTTTCTCTAAGTGACCTCAGGGAAAATACTTGGACACCACTTTTTCTGATTGTTGTATCTGGACATAATTGCAGTCCGATACAAGCAGTAGAGAGTCCTAGTGCGAGCATGAAAGTTAAGTCCTTCACAGACAAAAAAAAGGACCGACGCTGCTGTTGTTGATGATCAAGACAATAATAACAATGGCGAGGAAGAGCGGGAGGAGGAGGAGAGAGAATATTGATGACGAGAACGACAATGATGCTGATGACGAGAAGAGGCGAGGAGGAAGAGAAAGGGAAGACAAGTGAGGGAGGGGAGAAACGGAGAGGAGAGAGGAGGGAGAAGCGAGAAGTGGGGTAGGAAAACAGGGACGGGACAATGCAAAGGAGGGAAGACGAAAGCTGGACGGAGAGTGAAGAGAAGGGGACGGAACAGGACAAAGAGAGACTGCAGAGTCTGTGCAGAGGGTAGAATTCCCGGCCTCTGTTTCATTGAGCAATAAAATGAAAAAAAGGAAACGTGAGCGAGGGAGAGGGAGAGAGACTGCAGAGTGTGCGCAGAGGGTAGAATTAACCAAGAGGAAGACGAAGACGAAGACGAAGACGGAGACGGAGACGGAGACGAAGACGAAGATGAAGTCAAAAACGACGCCGAAAGATGAAAGACGAAAGACGAAGACGGCGACAACGACGACGACGAAGACGAAAGATGAACGTGAAGACGAAGTCAAAGATGAGATGAAGATGAAGACGAAGACGAAGACGAAGACGAAGACGAAGACAAAGACGAAGACGAAGACGAAGACAATGAAGATGAAGAAGATGAAGAAGATGAAGAGGTAAACGATCTTTACAATTTCGCACCTTAACCTGATCGGGAGTTGGTGTGTAAGGAAAGGACGATGCAAATTTTGTCATCTCCATCTCCATCTTTTCGTATGGTGGCCGGGATTGGCGAAGTCGATTGACATAGAGCTCCATCATGTCAACAACCAGCTTCTGTATGACCATCTTCCCCTGCCGCTTTTGTCGCTCCCACGTAGATGTGTCCTTCAGCTTCGACAGCCTCGGATCCTTCCCCACCTCTCCTCGACTGCTTCAGTCAACGTTTCGTTAAGACACAAATTCACAAGCGCATTGAAAAATACAGAGCAAAACAGAGGCGTTAGCTGGCATGAAAAGCTGCAAAAGACCAAAATACTTTTTAAAAAATGCACTTCAATTATTAAGGGGTCAGTGGCCAGAAACAATAAAGGGGGGGGGGGGTTCACTTCCAGCTCGGCAAGGCCATCTCTGTACTGCAAAAGCGCGCACGCAAGAGAGAGAGAGAGAGAGAGAGAGAGAGAGAGAGAGAGAGAGAGAGAGAGAGAGAGAGAGAGAGAGAGAGAGAGAGAGAGAGA